TTCTATGAGATTACTATGGGATTTCTGAAGGGATGCTATGGGAATTCTATGGGATTCTTATGGGATTTCTTTGTGGTTCCTATGTTATTTCCATGTTATATCTATGATTTTTCTATGGGATTTCTGTGGGATTCCTATGGGATTCCTATGGGATTCCTATGGGAGTTCCATGATGTTTCTATGATATTTCTATGGGATTACGATGGGATGTCTGAGGGAATTCTATGGGAATTCGATGGGATTCTTATGGGATTCTTATGGGATTTCTTTGTGTTTCTTATGCTATTTCCATGATATATCTATGATCTTTCTATGGGATTTCTGTGGGGTTCCTATGGGATTTCTTTGGGATGTCCATGATATTTCTATTGAATTCCTATGGCATTTCTATGAGATTACTATGGTATTTAAAAACGAATTCTCTGGTATTCCTATGATATTTCTATGGGATTTCTTTGGGAATTCTATGGGATTTCCATGAGGTTTCTTTGGAAATTCTATGGTGGTTCTATGATATTTCTATGGGATTTCTATGACTATTGGATTCCTGCGGGATTTCCATAGTATTTCTATGATATTTCTATGGGATTACTATGGGATTTCTAAAGGGATGTCGATGGTATTTCCATGGGATTCCTGTGGGGTTTCTGTGGTATTTCCATGATATTTATATGGGATTTCTTTGGGATGTCCATGATAGTTCTATTGGATTCCTATGATATTTCTATGGGATTACTATGGGAATATTATTAGATTCCTGAGTGATTTCTATGGGATTTCCATGGTGGTTCTTTGGAATTTCTCTGGGATTTCAAAGGGATGTCTATTGGAATTCCATTGGATGTCTATCAGATTTCTATGGCATATCTATTGCATTTCTATGATTTTTCTATGGGATTCCTATGGGGGTTCTGTGGTAGTTCCATGATATTTCTATGGTATTTCTTTGGGATGTCCATGATATTTCTATTGATTTCCTATGATATTTCTATGGGATTTCGATGGGAATATTATTGGATTCCTGAGTGATTTCTATGGGATTTCCATGGTGGTTCTTTGGAATTTCTCTGGGATTTCAAAGGGATGTCTATTGGAATTTCATTGGATTCCTATGATATTTCTATGAGATTACTTTTTCTATGGGATTTCTCTGGGATTTCCATGATATTTCTATTGGATGTCTATGATATTTCTATGGTATTACTATTGGATTTCTATGAGATTCCTATGGCATTCCTATGGGACTTCCATGATGTTTCTATGGTATTTCTATGAGATTACTATGGGATTTCTGAAGGGATGCTATGGGAATTCTATGGGATTCTTATGGGATTTCTTTGTGGTTCCTATGTTATTTCCATGTTATATCTATGATTTTTCTATGGGATTTCTGTGGGATTCCTATGGGATTCCTATGGGATTCCTATGGGAGTTCCATGATGTTTCTATGATATTTCTATGGGATTACGATGGGATGTCTGAGGGAATTCTATGGGAATTCTATGGGATTCTTATGGGATTCTTATGGGATTTCTTTGTGTTTCTTATGCTATTTCCATGATATATCTATGATCTTTCTATGGGATTTCTGTGGGGTTCCTATGGGATTTCTTTGGGATGTCCATGATATTTCTATTGAATTCCTATGACATTTCTATGAGATTACTATGGTATTTAAAAACGAATTCTCTGGTATTCCTATGATATTTCTATGGGATTTCTTTGGGAATTCTATGGGATTTCCATGAGGTTTCTTTGGAAATTCTATGGTGGTTCTATGATATTTCTATGGGATTTCTATGACTATTGGATTCCTGCGGGATTTCCATAGTATTTCTATGATATTTCTATGGGATTACTATGGGATTTCTAAAGGGATGTCGATGGTATTTCCATGGGATTCCTGTGGGGTTTCTGTGGTATTTCCATGATATTTATATGGGATTTCTTTGGGATGTCCATGATAGTTCTATTGGATTCCTATGATATTTCTATGGGATTACTATGGGAATATTATTAGATTCCTGAGTGATTTCTATGGGATTTCCATGGTGGTTCTTTGGAATTTCTCTGGGATTTCAAAGGGATGTCTATTGGAATTCCATTGGATGTCTATCAGATTTCTATGGCATATCTATTGCATTTCTATGATTTTTCTATGGGATTCCTATGGGGGTTCTGTGGTAGTTCCATGATATTTCTATGGTATTTCTTTGGGATGTCCATGATATTTCTATTGATTTCCTATGATATTTCTGTGGGATTTCGATGGGAATATTATTGGATTCCTGAGTGATTTCTATGGGATTTCCATGGTGGTTCTTTGGAATTTCTCTGGGATTTCAAAGGGATGTCTATTGGAATTTCATTGGATTCCTATGATATTTCTATGAGATTACTTTTTCTATGGGATTTCTCTGGGATTTCCATGATATTTCTATTGGATGTCTATGATATTTCTATGGTATTACTATTGGATTTCTATGAGATTCCTATGGCATTCCTATGGGACTTCCATGATGTTTCTATGGTATTTCTATGAGATTACTATGGGATTTCTGAAGGGATGCTATGGGAATTCTATGGGATTCTTATGGGATTTCTTTGTGGTTCCTATGTTATTTCCATGTTATATCTATGATTTTTCTATGGGATTTCTGTGGGATTCCTATGGGATTCCTATGGGATTCCTATGGGAGTTCCATGATGTTTCTATGATATTTCTATGGGATTACGATGGGATGTCTGAGGGAATTCTATGGGAATTCTATGGGATTCTTATGGGATTCTTATGGGATTTCTTTGTGTTTCTTATGCTATTTCCATGATATATCTATGATCTTTCTATGGGATTTCTGTGGGGTTCCTATGGGATTTCTTTGGGATGTCCATGATATTTCTATTGAATTCCTATGACATTTCTATGAGATTACTATGGTATTTAAAAACGAATTCTCTGGTATTCCTATGATATTTCTATGGGATTTCTTTGGGAATTCTATGGGATTTCCATGAGGTTTCTTTGGAAATTCTATGGTGGTTCTATGATATTTCTATGGGATTTCTATGACTATTGGATTCCTGCGGGATTTCCATAGTATTTCTATGATATTTCTATGGGATTACTATGGGATTTCTAAAGGGATGTCGATGGTATTTCCATGGGATTCCTGTGGGGTTTCTGTGGTATTTCCATGATATTTATATGGGATTTCTTTGGGATGTCCATGATAGTTCTATTGGATTCCTATGATATTTCTATGGGATTACTATGGGAATATTATTAGATTCCTGAGTGATTTCTATGGGATTTCCATGGTGGTTCTTTGGAATTTCTCTGGGATTTCAAAGGGATGTCTATTGGAATTTCATTGGATTCCTATGATATTTCTATGAGATTACTTTTTCTATGGGATTTCTCTGGGATTTCCATGATATTTCTATTGGATGTCTATGATATTTCTATGGTATTACTATTGGATTTCTATGAGATTCCTATGGCATTCCTATGGGACTTCCATGATGTTTCTATGGTATTTCTATGAGATTACTATGGGATTTCTGAAGGGATGCTATGGGAATTCTATGGGATTCTTATGGGATTTCTTTGTGGTTCCTATGTTATTTCCATGTTATATCTATGATTTTTCTATGGGATTTCTGAGGGATTCCTATGGGATTTTGATGATAAGTCAATTGAACATATATTCAAACTAAATTGAAATCAATAAAATCAATTGAAAGTATAAGTTGAAATCAATTGAACGTAAATTGAAATCAATTGAAAATCAAGTGAAAGTAAATTGAAATCAATTGAAATCAATTGAAAGTAATTTGAAATCAATTGAAAGTAAGTTGAAATCAATTAAATGTAAATTGAAATCAATTGAAAGTAAATTGAAATCAATTGAAATCAATTGAAAGTAGATTGAAATCAATTGAAATCAATTGAAAATCAACTGAAATCAATTGACATCAATTGAGTTCATTTTATTGAGTACCTGACACCTAAAAAAAACACTTTAAAGAGAGTCTCAGAATTGTTTAGGGGGGGTCCCCACTACACTAATCAGCATCAACATTAAGAGGTTTGAATTAGACTGCAGACTCCTGAGGAATTGGCCATGAAACAAACCAAGTGAAAAAACGCATTGAGAAAACAGAGAAACCTTAGCAAACCTCCATTCTTTTAGCCTCAAAAACGATCTCGTAGATGTGTCCAAAATGTTAAATGAAATAATGTGTTTCCCTCCTGATCCTGACCAAGACTCACGACCTTTTCATGGACCCTGGAGGGGGTGTGAGGGGGGGAGGGCAGTAGCTTATCATATAAGAACCTGCCTAATAAAGGCTTATCAGATATCCCCAACACCAGGGAAAACTGTCTTTATTTCCTAGTCCAACCATGAATGAGACAAGAGATCCTTATCCACGGTTTGTTCAGGGTTGGTTGAAAACTGATAAGGGCTTATTAAGGGCTTATCCAGGGCTTAAAGGATAAGCCTTGGATAAGCCTGTTTCCCAACCTAATTTGCCTACCCCCCCCTCCAAAATCCCCCAAAATCCCCCAACCCCCAACGTCCCCAACCACCCTCCGATCCTCACCCAAACCTTCCAAGACCCTCCCCAGGCCCTTCCCCTCCGCAGACTCTCCCATACCTTGGTCCTAGGCTCCTTGGCTGAAGGCTTAACCAGGCCTTGTTCAGAGCTTAACGGATAGGCATCTATTAAGCTTCTAATAAGCGTTTATTAAGATGTTATTAAGCTTCTAATAAGGGCCTTACACAGAAGCCCCTAATAAGCCTTTATATGATAAGCTACTGCCCCCCCCCTTACCCCCCCTCCAGGGTCCATGACCTTTTGTTCCTGGATATCAAGTACATTCATATCGCTTTCTTGGCGAAGGTCTCGTTTAAGATTCCCTGGCACATGTTTGAGGGATTTGTTTTTGGTCAATGCCCAAGTGATATTGCCAGTGCTCATCAAATCCTAACAGGCACCTCTGAAGCGACAAATAGTGTTGTGTCGAAGCCGAATCCTGCTTCCATCAATTTTGGTACCACCTCTTTTGGCAGAGTCTTGTAAGTCTCAGGCGACAAGTGAAGGCCGTTGAATGCCGTCGGCAACTTATTCAAAATGTTTTGAGTTGCCATTTGAATGCCTTGATTGTATTCCAGGTGTTTGTCGAGAAATGATATCAACCCCAAATTGGATTCTTCGACTCTCAGCAAACCTGCTGCCAAACCCAGATGGAGAAGAAAACCTTTCGGTTTGGATTTTCTGCGCAGAACGTTCCGAGCTCTGGAACAAATCGCTCGCAGTGGTTCTCCACCCATATTGTTTTGCAGTTCCAAATCCACAGTTTCGACGTTGTTTGGTGGCTCTGGAAGAAAGGCTATATTGAGTTGTTTCAGGGCTTTACTGATTTGGGCGCCGTCGTAAAGCTGTTGCAGTGAAATTTCTTTGAGACCAATCCACAATCGGGGCTCAACAATGGTTTCGGCTCCCAGCAAAACAGCCACTGCGAAACCGTGCAGCAAAGCAATGTGCTGATTGGTCAAACCATTCCGTCCAACATCAAAAGCGAGCGTCAAAGAGACAGTCGATTTGTCGAAACATTGGACATGTTGATCCCAAATTTCCTCAAAACCGGAACTCACAAACATTTCCGAACCCAACGGATCGTATGTTGGATTTGCCGTTGCGTGCTGATGATGAATCACCTGTCTCACCCGCCCACGAGTCAGCAGAGATGCAAACACCAATGCAGCCCAAATCAACGCACAGCACGAATAACATACGCGTTTCGCAAATTTCATGGCTTTTGACAAGATGCATTTATGATTGAACCACAACGCTGCAATCCTGGAAAATCAATTTGTTCACATTTGGATACATTTGGGTTTAGATTTTCGCAAAGTGCATTACAGTGTGTTGAGCGTTTCATGCCACCAAACGGGTGGTACTGGTTTGGGATGCTTGAAGGTAGGGTGCGGGTTGGCGGGGTGCAAGGGTGGGGTTTACGGTGAGAAGGGCCGAAGATGTTGTATGCATATTTCTACCAAGTATGAACCCCGCTTTGCATGCAACATGCATCATTACAAAATGGGAATCACTATATATCTGCGTTGACGATTGTAAGCAAACCCAATGTCGCAGAAGGAACATTTCAAACCCATTTCACAACACGGAACCAAATGCGGAAACCCAATGAACAGAGTCAAGAATCCAGGTACAAACATGCACAACATGATAAATACTGACGCGAATCAACCAACACACACGGAAAAAACGGTTCAGCCAAAATCACAATGGGTTAAACAAATTTCGGTGGCATCTCCAACAAGAGCAGCTATGGATTTTGATGTATATTTTATAATTTTGTGCACTTAAAATGATCAAACATTTTTTTTAAGGAACCGTCAGTCGTGCATCCTCATTGTATTTTGTTATCGTTGGTCACAACGATGCTAAAGCAACAAATCTCACACAAATAGCGTCCAATTGTGTTTGGCATTCAAACGTGACCAGGAATATAGTGTTCTACGGGTCCAAACTTCCAAGCCGTCTTCTAAAAAACGACCAAGTCAAACCGCTGAAAAACCTCAATCGCATGTCACCTTTTCACAAACATCATGCAGTGCAAGTCCGAAAATGAAAACCACCCGTTCACATGGAACGTTTCAAACACTGACTGATGTCTTGAAACCACTGCTGAACTAACGCAAACGAAACAAAAAATACCTGCAGGAACCGGTTCAGCTAGGTGTGTAGCATTGTAAAGTTTTCTGATGCTCTTGGAGTCCTTGGGTCTCTTCCCCATATTGTTTCGACCCCACAACCGTTCTATATTTTGAGGTTCTGAAGTTTTCTCCTCGTTCTTAGCCCTTCTCTTGTTGCGGAACCGCGCCAATTTTGTTTTGTTTTTGTGGTTTCAAAAGGGCTCTTAAAGTTCTTGGGTTTTTGCCGTGTTTTTGATTTCCTTTGCAAAGTGACAAAGATATTTTTTAACGAAAACAACATGATTTTTCGCAACCCTGTTTTTTCATTTCAATGGAAGAAAACGCATCACGTTTTGCTAGTTCATGAATGATGTGTTTGGATCATGTGACGACGAAAAGTTTAAGCTTCATGTTTTTCTGAAAAGCAGCGTGCTACCTTTTCTGGAACTTCTCGAGCCACTGCGGATGGTGGCAGGCATCTGTTGTCACACTGATATACTACACATGGTCTGCGGAACACGCTAAAACTTCCCACCCCGCCTTGAAACTCCGTGTTTTAACGGTGTTTCACCATGCTGCATCTACTTGACATCATAAGACTGTTCATAATCCTTCGTATAATTTCTACTCAGTTCACGCAATGGTTTCCGTTGCTTCCAGTTGACATCCAACACAAGACAAAGGCTGCCGCACGGGTGCATACTATTTTTAGGCGTGGTGCAAAGTTTGGGTCAGATCTGCGCACATCCAAAGAACCAGCGCGTCCAAAACGGGCACAGCTAGACCTACAAACAAAAACCCCCAATCAGACACCGATCAACAACCCTATCACCGGGGTATGTTGGGGTCGACAAAAAGAGGTGGGGAGTTCCAACAGCACCAAACCTATCGACAATCGACCAGCCGGAGTGAGAACTCCCCAAAAACTAATCGATGGAGGCACCCAGTCAGCGGACTGCAGCAACCTTTTTTCTCGCAGATGAACATCAAAATGTGCCGGCCACTTTCGACCGATCTGGGTAATCTCAATGCCAGACGATTTAAGAAGTTCCATCCAAGGGAACGTCATTCGTGCAGCTGGATCCAATGGTGTAGAAAGAGGTTCCTTGAACCGACTCAGCTCATCAGCAAGCACGTTCAGGCGTCCAGGGATATGAGTGATGTGTGGGAATACCTGGTATCTCCCCATGAACTTGAAGTACGGTGTTAGCACTGCAGCAAGGGAGGGGGTCATGGTGAGACCTTTGGCGGAAGCCGCATCTGCTGCGCTATGATCCGTGGCTTGTTGGCACGCCATAGGTCCACGGGTTCGAGGAAGGTGAGCTTGAATGCAGAAAGACAGCGCAAACTCTGCAAGGAGCTCCCATGCTGCAATGTGCTTCTGCATATCATCACCCAGCCATGGCCATAGTGCCTGTGCTTCGGCCAAAGAAATGCGGAGCTGGAACCAGACTGATGAACCATCTGGGAAGATGGCTGGACCGCCCAAACCCGCCATGGAGGTCGAGGCCATGGCATCAGCAGTAGCTTGAACCTGGATCCATGTCGGAGGGCACATCGACAGAGAAAATGGCGTAGAGACCAGAAGTTGTAGCCATACTTGTAGCGTCTCCGATGCTTCATCATGTAGTTTTCGGTTTGGTGACGTGGGGTCCAAAATGCCCAACCAAACTCGACGAGATTTGATGTGCAACGACCGAAGCTCTGCCAAAGTTTTCACATGAGAATTTGCCACACGACATAGTGTGACCCCTGGGCGCAGTGATTGATGTTTGTGGGTGAGTGATGTGCTCAGCTGCAAGTGGTCACCCAGTTGGGTAATCAAGGTCTGTAAGGTGACATGATCCATACCCACCATGGTAGTGGAGATGCGATGCGATGCCTTATACAGCGGTATAAGCAGTGGTCGCAAGTAGTGCCATGCCGATGTCAACCATAGAAGTCGCCCAACCAGAGATTGCAGTTCCCGCAATGTCAGGCGGGAGGAAGCCTGAATTGACCCAATCTGGTCAATAATTTTGGCCAGCTTCTCTGGGGGACTGCCACTGTCCAGGAGGAAACTGATATCCTCCAACCAATCCAATCAACTGTATCAGCAAGGGCTGACATAGGTACGCCCAGGATGAATAGGAGGACCACAATCAAGGATGCCCAAAGGGGGGATGAAGACTTGTCCAGCCAAGCAAGGAGGTCATCCACATACTGCCACAGGGCATGTCCGTGAGCCAGCAGGGAGTGGCAAGAACGCACCATGATGCCCGCCAAGCGCCCCCAATACCATCCGCTCGCGCAGGCCCCAAAGTTCAGTGTGATGCACCTGTAGAGCTCCCTGTTGGCGTGGAAACACAGCAGACCTCCATCTTCTGGGGCGACAAGAATCCGGCGATGGGATTTTGACACATCCAGGGTAAGTTGAGTCATCTGCTGTGCTGACATGCCCATGGGAGCACATTGCATCACATCGGAGATGCGCGGCAAGAGCATATGATTGGGAAGAACCGTATTCGCAGTCACCATGCTGATGGAGCTATCCACAACAAGTCTTACCGACCTGGAGCAATCACCACGCCCAGCTTGCCAATGGCCGTCTTGGCACACATCTGTTTGAGCTGTGGCACGCCACCTGGGACATGAGCGATGAAGCCCGCATCTAGCTCTTCCTGGATCAATGACTGCACGATTTCTGGATGGTCCTGTGCACTTTTCCATGAATGCAGGCAGTCTTGAAGTGGAACTTCTTCTGGGAGTGTTCCCGTGTATTCTGGCCAGGCAGGAGACGGCCTCAATGGTTGGTTGCCCCCAAAGGAACGCCTCAGGGCAATTGCAATTGAAGCAGGAAATTGTGAAAACACGAGAGCGGCGTGGCAGCTCTTTTCACAGCTCGGACTTGAGCCAAACCACACAGATTTGACAGCTCAGTCACTCTTCTTCTTAGAAGAGTCGTGCAGAGTAAAACGCAGTGACACTCAAACGTTCTCAAACTTCTCAAACTACTTCAAAAGACTTCTCAAGCTTCCAAAACGTTCTTCCAGCTTCTCCAAATAAAACGTCTTCAGCTCAAACTCACAAATAACCTACAAAACTCCTACCAAATAAGTTCACAACATCAAGTTCCTAAGACATGGGTCAAACAACATCCAAAAACACCAAAAACCACAAAAACAAACGAAAAATTTATCTCCAAACTCTTCCATGCACAAACTGGTTCCATTTGGTTCCAAATTGGTTCCTACCTGGTTCCTATAGGTTCCTATGGGATCTAAAGGTCCTTGTAAGGACTGTTTATTATAAAGGCCGCCAGTGTTATGAGACCGCGCGAGAGTTGTTTATTCTGAGTTCGCGCAAGTAAACAGTTAATACGTTTTATTTGGCGAAAGCTATGGCAAAAATTGTCTAGGTGCAATGAGAACCTTTTCAATTGAATTGTGTTCTATAGTTCACAGATCGGTTCCTACAAACTGAAAATGGTTTCCTAACTGTTCACATGCACATGCATTGTCCCAAGATAGGTTTAAAGATGTTCAAGTAGGTTCAAGGTGGTTCAGTACACTGTACATCCTCTCACCAAACTTTCACACCCCTTCTTGGACAGTAGTGCTGTACACCGAAGTACCTATGGACTACCATACCGTTTGTAAGGCAACTAAGTTCTGAACCCACACAACTAAGTTCCAGACATCACCAACTAGGATCCATGCTCAACAACTAAGCTAGGAACTAGCGCACAGAAAACTCGAAACGTCCTGGGTTTAAAAGGTGCCCTCAGACCAGGTGAATATTTTGTGAGACCAAAGTCTCTTTGGCTTCACCTTTGCTCATCATAGGGCAATGGCAACGGAACAACGTAACCAACAAACCATACCCCATCTTTCTGAGTAACCCACAACTTTGAAATTGAGTTCACAACTTCTGCACAAAGTTTTGTTTGAAAACGTTTATCGTTTGGAAACCTTGGTATTTGAAACTGTCTCACGTTTGTCATCATCATCTCATCTAAGTAAGGGGAACTGGCACCAAAGGTTTGTCCTCTGGATATGGCCTTGGTGTCCAGATTTTCTGGGTATTGGGATAGACCCCCTAAGGGTACCAAGTGTCTGCGCCTCTG